TTATTGTTGATGATATAGCAATTAACACACTTTCTACATCTATGCTAGGAATGACTGCAAAACACATTCCCCTCCACAATTTATAGGCAGAAGGACACAAATTCATGCTGGGATTTCTTTGTAGCCAATAAGATAGGCAACTTATTTGTGTCATCTGATATAGTCCCAGTCAGTCTTGCCTTGAAGTCAGAACACTATCTTCATTTACTTGAATTTGCTCTTGTGAATCAATCCCAATTCTTAGTTTGTGAACTTTTTGCCATATTACTGTTGCTTTGACTTATTACTGTTAATTTGCTTTGCATATATTGTTGGCTTTCTTTATACTATTTTTTCCCTTTCCTTTTCTCATAATTGTTTAATATTACAAACTTTTTCAATTCTATTTCTTGGGCAGTTCTACCATTTATTTACATTTAACCATAGCCACTCACTCTACAACTTAAAAACAACAAAATTATCTTGAATAAGTATTGATGCTGTAAGAATCAGACAATCTTGTTATCAGTTCTATTTTGTCTTAGTAAATTGCTTTCTCTTAATTATAGTACCATTTTTTTTTTAAATCTTAAATCAAAATTATGCTTACATTGAGCAATTATTACAGTGAGCAACTAATGCATTGAGTTTGTTTTGTAAAAGATCCTTTTGTGCTCATATAATCATTTACTTAAATTCCCTGAGGTTTCTCCTATGTATTCCTTGTGAGAATTATTACAGGTGATAGATTAAATGAAAATACCTTGTATTGCTTAAATAATAATAATAAGAGTGTATTTCTTTGATTATCCAAATACTGTAGGAGAGAAGTTCGAAAAATATGTTTGGATAATTCAAAATTTTGCATAATTAATTACCTAAATAATAATTAAATACCTATTGAAAAAGAATAAAGAAAGTCATTTAATGTTTATATCATTAAATAACACTTCCACATGATTTGTCCTTTTTTTATGAAAAAAGAGTCAATTTTTGTCTTTTTCATTGATCTTGCATTTTTTCTGTCACTAATTCTCAAAGCTGAATTAAAGTAAACTTATTCATAAGCGAAACTTTTGGTTGAAAACACAACCAAATTAAAGGTTAGTCATTTTTTATCAAAGTTTGTGTATTCTTTTCTAAATTCTTAAAACTTGTGTCTGAGATAAAATATCAGAATGCTTTTAGATTGGATAACTGGAAAATGTTGTACCAATTTCAATTTTTCTTTCACTTCACATCTGGATAATAGAAGTCCATAAAATTGAAATGATAGTAATCAAGAAGTACTGTACAAAAAATTTGGAAATCTCAAATAAGTGTAAGAGAAATTTTATAATATTAAATACTTGCCGAAAAGACACACACACACACACACACACAATCAATCTTGAGGCGATTTTGCTCAACTGATTTCCTCATGATTTATTTATTTTTTTAAATAAAAAATTTATGAACGCTATATTTAAAAATAAATGAATGAATAAGCAAACGATGTGAGGTGTGGTAGATGAGGAGGAGGGGAAAGCAAATGTATTGGAAATGTATCAGTGGGGGGTTAAATGAAATATACATTCTTTCTTTTCATCCCACTTCAAATGAACTCAAAAGGAACTTTTTATTATATATATATGGGTCATAATTTCTGATGTCTCATTCAAAAAGTTTTTGGTCTGGAAATGTTATAGCTAACTTTTCTTCTTGACAAAGTTTGCAGATATTACTATGATTGTTGTAAGGTTTTGCTTTTTTAAAATTTTCCAGTTTACAATCGGATCTTTTTTAATTTTTTTTTTTTCTTTAATTTCTGTGCTTGGTTGCCTAGTCTAGTAGAATTCCTAAGACTTTCTAGCTTAAAAGATGACTTGGGATTACCCCACCTCTTTTTAAAGTTATCAGTAGTATACCCTATATATATATTTTTCTGACCATTTGTATCTATTACTTCTGCTTTGTAAATTATTGCTTCAGTTTTGCAAACTCCATGTAATGAACATCTACTTTTATTCTACAGTTGCATATTTCACTGTTAATGATATTTTGCTGCATGTTAATTTTGAAATTTCTGGTGTTTGCCTTTTTATTGTGGTTTCTAAATTACTGGTACAACTACAGCTTAATTTAACTGTTTTTATTAAGTATTTTATGTAATTCAGAATTTTTTGGGAAGTAATTTGAAAAATATTTTCCCTATTTTACACTTGACCTCTAAGTTAAAAGCAAGTTTAAACCAAATATTTTTTCTTTTCTTCAAATTGTTCTGCATTTGTTGTTTTATTTGATATTTAAATTCCAGTTTGATTTTATGCCCCTCTTTTAAAATCCTTTCATATTCTTTAATTTTATCTTCAAAAATTATTTTACTACAGGAATTTCTATAAAACCTGGACTCTTTTTGTTTGGGGATTTGCTTTATTATACTCGCAGAGTCATTGGAAGTAACATTCATGAATTTTAATTTTGTGTTGTGTTTCATATATGGGAAAACACTGCCAGTTTGTAGATTTAATTCTACATCCAAATATTTAACAATTTTCTTATTCATATTGTTATACTGGAACATACCTATTCTATTGTTAATAGACTCTCCCACATATAATAAGTAGTAGTAGTAGCAGTCACCAGGGGGCTCAGTGAGTTGGTGAGTCAGTCGATGTCGGACATTAAAGTATCAACCACCACAACTAGATTGCTTTGCCATTAACTATTATAACAAGTTCCTAACGTTTTTGTATGTCAAACCTTTTTAGGACCGACTTACAAGCCTCCACTGTGAAACTACTCTACAACAACTTTGGCAACCAGGATTCGAATCTCATACGGAAGAAACAAAAAAAATTTGTTCACCATATACAACACTTGGTGACGAACGGAGGAAGAAAAATTTTCGTTCACTCTACAATACATATCAACTTCTATTCCAAAGTCGAGGCTTTTGAAGAATTTGAAAAGTGCTTTTCTTATATTGTCATTTGTTCTTCTTTTGTCTGGCACTGTCATCAGTCCATCATCTCTATAAAGGCTGTGGTTGTTTATGGGTACAGTTTTGTTGATTTCATATAAGATATGTAAGCCTATTACTTCTGAAACCCCAGCACCATCAAACGAAGCTTGTGGTAAATCAAAACCATTGTTTTTGATTTTTTAATCAAAGATTCTCCATTGTGGAATAAAATTGATTTATGGCAATGTAAAATGATGTCTATTTGTTAAGGTGTTATATTCATGAACACTTTGAAGTATAAAGCCTCAAGCAGACCTTTTTAGATATAGATGAATAAAAGTTTTTTATGTTGTATTTTATAAATACATATTTATCTTTATTTTTAATTTTGTGGAACCAAGAAAGGCACTCACCTATATCGTTCTGTTGGTCGGCTTGTCTATTGATCCTTAATGAGTGACACATTTTCTCTTTTTTTTGAGTATTTCTTGGTTTATTTTACCTAATTCAGTTTCGTTTGGGTTTATTATTCTAAAAGAAGGATCATTGAGGAATTTGTTTTTTTATAGTTATACATGCTTGCTTACAGCATAATATATGGACCCTGTCACTTATACCTAGTTTGACTGTGATGTTTCTGACTCATGCTATATTTCGGGCTAAGGGAATAGATACATAACACCAGGTGGATACTAGAAGAAAGGTTTATTGTACACAACGAGTACAAATATAAAATATGGTACAGTTATACACACAGGTCACTCTAGTAGTGAGTGCCACTAATTGGAAGGTCAGACGTCCTTGCGTCGTCTCGCTCTCACTCTTATATTTAACAGCCACCCCCCATGAGGGATGTATGTGGCACAAGGCTGAGTTTAGCGTGGGTTCTCTGAGTCCATAGGCTTTACCAAAAATATTCTCTTAGAACCCACATAAGCGGGTTCAGGGTCTGTTTAACTTCCCGGACAAAACTTTGCACTTTGGCAAAGCCTAGTCTGGGTTCCTCTCTGCTTAAGGCAAAGAGTTCGACAGTGAAGAACAGGAGAGAGTACTATTCACACTCTCACCCTCTTCCTCGACTCTCTCGTAGACAGTTGACTTTATAGCTACTTACTACCTATAGTTTAATCATTCATGGGGATGATTGGTTATTCCATTACATCAACTCCTCATTTATACTTTTAACATACAGGTTTAGTGCTTTTTTGTAAGTTTTGGTGACTTCATATATATATATATATATATATATATATATATATATATATATATATAGTCTTAAAGGTGTGCTATATTTATGGAATAAAGTGCTCAATATCAGAGATAGAGCGTGTGTAAATATAAAAGTGAACATAGAAGTCAACACTTAGAGGCGACAGTCTGTTTCATGCTATATGCAATCGTCAAGTTGACTTCTATGTTCACTTTTATATTCATATATATTATTATATATATATATATATATATATATATATATATATATGAATTTCAAATATAAATTTAAACTTACTGTGAGAAAAGTGGACTAATCCTAAATGACAGAATGTATGGTCATTAGCAAGAGAAAAAGCCCAAGTTGCAAGTCACAAATTAACAATGTCAACATCAAACAAGTACAGAAGTTCAAATATTTGGGAAGTGTTTTCACAGTCGATAGAAAATATAACACTGAAATCCGAACATGTATTGACGAATGAAAGATTCATTCCAAAACCAAAGTACTGTGAAAGAAAAATTCCATTCGAAATAAAGAAGAGTGCTAGATTGCTATACGATATCTGTCCTTTCATATAGCGCTGAATGCTAGACAATGTCCCCACGGATGAGGAGAAAACTGGAAGCAACAGTAATGTGCGTCAATAGAAGGCTACTGAGAATTCCATAGACAAAGCAAGAGAAATAACACTTATACTCAGAATCAGAAAGAGACAGAAGGAATTTCTTGGACATATAAGGAAGGAGGTCTAAGAAAACTTAATCCTCACAGGGCATATGAAGAACTGGACAGAGAGGGGAAGGCAGTCTGACCACTAGAATTCCTCCCACAGACATATGAAGAGGACAGAAGGCAGTCTGACCACTAGAATTCCTCACAGGGCATATGAAGAACTGGACAGGGGGAAGGCAGTCTGATAGAAGAACTGGACAGAGAGGGGAAGGCAGTCTGACCACTAGAATTCCTCACAGGGCATATGAAGAACTGGACAGAGAGGGGGAAGGCAGTCTGACCACTAGAATTCCTCATATGAAGGGACAGAGGGGGAAGCAGTCATATATGAAGAACTGGACAGAGAGGGGAAGGGACAATCTGACCACTAGAATTCCTCACAGGGCATATGAAGAACTGGACAGGGGGAAGGCATCTGATGAAGAACTGGACAGAGAGGGGAAGGCAATCTGACCACTAGAATTCCTCACAGGGCATATGAAGAACTGGACAGAGAGGGGAAGGCAGTCTGACCACTAGAATTCCTCACAGGGCATATGAAGAACTGGACAGAGAGGGGAAGGCAGTCTGACCACTAGAATTCCTCACAGGGCATATGAAGAACTGGACAGAGAGGGAAGGCAGTCTGACCACTAGATTCCCTCACAGGGCATATGAAGAACTGGACAGAGAGGGGAAGGCAGTCCCACTCCTCTCACAGGGCATATGAAGAACTGGACAGAGAGGGGAAGGCAGTCTGACCACTAGAATTCCTCACAGGGCATATGAAGAACTGGACAGAGAGGGAAGGCAGTCTGACCACTAGAATTCCTCACAGGGCATATGAAGAACTGGACAGAGAGGGAAGGCAGTCTGACCACTAGAATTCCTCACAGGGCATATGAAGAACTGGACAGAGAGGGGAAGGCAGTCTGACCACTAGAATTCCTCACAGGGCATATGAAGAACTGGAGAGGGAAGGCAGTCTGACCACTAGGAATTCCTCACAGGGCATATGAAGAACTGGACAGAGAGGGAAGGCAAGGACCACTATTCCTCACCACATATGAGAACTGGACCAGTCTGACCACTAGAGAATTCCTCTGGGCATATGAAGAACTGGACAGAGAGAGTCTGACCACTAGAATTCCTCAGGGCAATGAAGAACTGGACAGGGGGAAGGCAATCTGACCACTAGAATTCCTCACAGGGCATATGAAGAACTGGACAGAGAGGGGAAGGCAATCTGACCACTAGAATTCCTCACAGGGCATATGAAGAACTGGACAGAGAGGGGAAGGCAGTCTGAACATTAGAATGAACAGCAGGAGATTTGGTAAAGGGAGAAACATTACTGAGACCCACGGAGCTTAAGAAGTTGTGGAGGCTCATGATCACCTACGTCCTGAAGAGACACGTTCCATAGATGAAGAAGTTGATGTGATAGTGGTGTAATGGTTAGCATGTCAAAATGAGAAATCAGCGAACACTATGCTGTGTAAATATAGAAACTGACTAGCTACTTGAATCAAAAATGGACACCATTTTAGTTTCCAAAGTATGACTCCACCTCTACCTCTTCTCCCTCCAGCTATGGGTTAATTAGTAAGTCTTGTATCACTAAGGCAATATTATCTCCCTTACAATCTTCTTACAATCTAAAAATATTTTCTGGCTTTAAATAACCTGAAAAGGGTTGATAAGCTGTAGAAAATGTTTGAATCAATCAATGAAATACTGATTAGCTACACAGGCATGTTTTTCAAATTTATTTACATTCTCTGGAATATAAATGTGAAGAAATTAACGTGGCCACAAACTGAGGGATCAGTTTATGCATTGATTTTAATATAGAATTGATCCCCCATTTTATGTCTTCTTTTTTTTTTTTGTTTTTTTTTTTCTTACTAAATTCTGATTAGGTACATATCCACCTCTTCTCCCTCTAGCTATGGGTTAATTAGTAAGGTTTTTGCCACTAAAACCATTATCTTCCCCTAGAAAAAAAATTCTTGCAATCTAAAAATATTTTCTGGCTTTAAATAACCTGCAAAAGATTGACAAGCCCTGGAAAACAAATCAAAGTTAATTTCCAACTTATCATTTTAGTGAAATGGAAATTTAAACAAAAAATGAAAACAGAAGCCTATTTTTGGGAGAAATGAAGTGTCCTCTCCACACTCTTTCAATCAATGCACATAAAAAATAAATGAAAAAAATATATTTTTCTGCTTCATAAATCAAACTGTAACCTTGTTTTGTTTGAGTGAAAAACTTAGCTTAAAGTGAAAACAACATGAACAGAGGAAACATTAAATTGAATTTCATTTAAAAAAGAAGAAAACCTTACAATGTCCCCAATTTTAATTAACGCTGAAGTTTGTTGTGGATAGGATTGATGGAGTCAGAAACTCTAAGATCTCTTTGCTACAAAACCACATAAAATCTCATTAAAACAATTGCTATTTACCTTTTAATCTTTCAAATAATCCTTTGGATTAATGAATTCAATCTTTCTCTTCTTCATAATATGGTCGATCATGGCCCTCCACAGCGTTCTGTCAGTTGTGGCCCTTAGCTGTTTATTTACTTTTGCTTAGGCTACACTATTCTACCATCCATTCACACAAGCTTGTAAAGTAGATTGCATGCTGCCTTCTCTTATCTCTCTTGCACTTAATATTCCCTGTGAGGGTTAATTTTTCCAAGCCCTCTTTCCTCATTATGTGTCCAAGGAATTTCAGCTATCTCTTTCAGATTCTCAGCATAATTTTTTTTCTTCTTCTTCTTCTTTCTGTGCTGGGTAAGATGATAAACTACATCCGATAGCAAGGGCTCTGATCAGAAGGTTTTGAGGAGTGTGGAACTACCTCTTAATTGGTGTTCCCAGGACCATCCTGACCTGAAGTGATAGCACCTGTTAGGGTCACAATTATGGGCAAAGAGTTAACACTCATAATGAGGCCAAAACAGTATGAAAGTGTAAAACTAGGTTTTAGTACCAGCAATACAATTTTGAAAAAATATTACCATCCATCAATAAATTTTTGGAAAAAAAATATTACCAGCAATGCATTTTTGAAGAAAATTATTACCAGCAATATATTTTTGGAAAAAATATTACCAGCAATAAAAATCCATTGAGGCTGTCATGTCGTAAAACAAAACAAATGAAAAACCAAATCCAAAGACTTACTGCTTTCACACTTTGTGCATGGAAATCTCATTATCCTTCTGTAGAACCACATTTCTGCTGCCTCCAGTTTTCTCTTCTCTCTGTACAGAGATATACTTTTCTACGTTTCTAACAAAGTTTTTCTGTTTCTTTAGGAATGTCACTTTTGTCAGTCCAATGTATGTCCAGATTTGGAGTTGCATTTTCAATCCTCTGTTAAAACACTTCCCAGATAAAAAAAACTTCTTGATGTAATGTTGGCATCTTCCAATTTTTAATCAGAACTATTCCCAATCTCCTTTCAGAGTGTGAACGGTCATGGCTCTCCACAAATTCCTGTCTCTTGTAGCTCTCTTGCACTTAATATTCCCTGTGAGGGTTAATTTTTCCAAGCCCTCTTTCCTCATTAGCTTTTTTTTTTCTATCTCTCTCTCCTAATCCCTACTCTGCCAACAATTTATATAAAATCATTAGGTAGGTTATTTGCTGCTTTCCTCTGTCCTTCTTGACTTCAGTATGTCCTGTAAGTGTCACATTTTCCATGCCCACTTTCCTCATTATGTGCCTTAGAAATTTCTACTATCTCTTCAGAGGCTAAGTAAGTGTCCTATTTGTTTCTGTTTTAACTAAAACTTCCTGGTTATTCACATGTTCAATCTATGGGATTCTCTGCATCTTTCTGTAGAATCATATTTTTATTGCTTTAAGTCTCTTCATTTGTGATGAGGTTGTCTGGCATTTACTGCCATATTGGAGGACTGACATTACATTAATTCAATAATCTTTGTTTCTAATGATATGGGAAAATATTTCCATATCCTAATAGTTTCCTAATACCTAGATTTGGAATTCATCTTTTGCTGTTCATATGTACCTTTTGGATTTTTCTATCACATCACATCTATTTTTCTGTCCTCTGTTAAAACACTTCCTGGATACTTACTGATTTTGGCATCTCCAATTTATCATTTGCATTTTCAACTGTTCCTCTTAGTTAAAAAATCTACATTCTGCCATTTTGAAATTCATACTTAATCATTTCTTCTCACTTGACTACTCTCTTCAGGAGCTTTTATAGTTTCTTTCCTGTGTTTGCATATTGTACATTGTTAAGATTGTGACCACCAATAATGAATCTAGCTAGGACACATAATTCTCTCAGGATTGCTGCATTATAAAGGTTGAGTCAACACATTTATGTCTTACGCCGTTTTTTTTATTTTTGTGTATTCACTGAATTCATTTTGAATCTGTATGCTGATGGTTTGCTCCCACTGTGCCATATTTTATCAAAGCATACATTTCACTTGCATCTGGTGTGTATGTGTTAGAAAGATTTTGTAGTAATGTGTGGCATTAGGGGAAACGTCTAACCCTCCCAGCAACTATGGGGTTATTAGGCAGAGGGGAAAGAAATGGGAGGTAAGAAAAATAAGTCTACCTAAGAAACCACAGCAACTTGAGGAACTGAACTGTCTTCACAAGAAACCGTGTCTTGGTGACAGTTGATTTTTTCCCCCCTGCTCTTGTTGGCACAAAGCATCTTACAAAGTGAATCTTGACCAGTTGCAGAGAGACCCATATCTAGACATGCAAAACTGTTCCACTGCTAACAGGGGAAAACCTGGTGTTGGCAAACCTGTCTGCATGCAATCCATGGCCACTTTTGCATCTGTACTGATGCATGTTTGCCACAGATTTGTCAACTATGTCTGTGGGGGGGAAAAAAGCAATGAATGGTTCAGATCAAAAAATCAAAAATCTGAGACTGAATTCCAATGCTCATAAATTGGTCTTGCAAAGTTCAAAATCAAAAATACCAAAGGTGTAAAATCAACTTGTAAAAAAAAAAAAAATAATATTCACAACAAGTCTACATCACCCATGAAGACCAGAGAATAAAACCACTGTAATCCAAAGTAGCATTCTTTTATTGGCATATTTTTATGTTTATACATTCTTTTTATAGATGCAAATATTTAAATAAATGCTCTGTTTATAGTAAACAGTAATTAACAACATTTACCAGCCAGAATGTCCAAGAAATTGTCATACAAAATATGCATTCTCCGACAGGAATCGAACTGGTATCCTATATGGAATCATCATATAGCCATATATGCCTTAACTGATTGGGCCACAGAGGAGCGTTTCCCTTAGCAAGGTTGATTTTACTGTTTTTAAACTACAATTTTCCATAATTCTCTCATGTGCATTCATATCTGCTCGCTGCATATCCAAATGTAAAAAAATGACGTCACACATTATGAAATGGACAAAGTCCAACAATTATTTTAAGACATTTAAGAATGTATAAACATAAAAATGTCTTAAAATAATTGTTGAATTTAATCCATTTCATATATATATATATATATATATATATATATATATATATATATACACACTAATAGTAATATCTCAATTTGTAGATATATCAAAACAAATCGGTACCTGAGGTAAAAAAATTGGAAATAAAAAAAAAGAAAGAACTAAAAACATACAAATAGGGCAAAATAAATCATCCAGAGCTTTGTGTTTAGTCCAAAGAAAAAAAAACCAAGTTAGTAGTAAGACTAAAATGTAGACTGCTCAATACACTAAGTAGAGTGAAAATAACTAAAATAAAACCCATAGAGCCAAGAAAACCTACCTCGTTTCACCTAAATGGATCTTCAGAGTAAGCTAGCTTACCCTGAAGATCTGTTTAGGTGAAACCTAGGTAGGTTAATACACTCGTCTTCTTCTCTCTGGTGACAGGCAAACTTGCCCGTCTTTTATTTTGCTTGTGGGGCTTGAATAGGTCATTTGGGAATTCACTGCTGGATATGATTCAGGCC